AAGAAATCTGAAATACAGACATTGTCATCCTACAAGAAAGATGGTATAGAGGAGACGGACCCACTGGTTTCCCTCTAGGTTACAGAGAGCTGGTAGTCCCATCCACCAAACTACCAGGTGTGAAACAGGGAAGGGACTCAGGGGGTATGCTAATTTGGTATAGAGCAGACCTAACCCACTCTATTAAATTAATAAATACAGGAACATTTTACATTTGGCTAGAAATGTAAAAGAAAATGATCTCAACAGAGAAAAATGTCCTCCTGTGTGCTACCTATATCCCCCCACTAGAATCCCCATACTTTAATGAAGATAGCTTCTCCATCCTGGAGGGGGAAATCAATCATTTCCAGACCCAGGGACATGTATTAGTCTGTGGCAACCTAAATGCCAGAACTGGATAAGAACCTGACACCCTCAGCACACAGGGGGACAAACACCTACCTGGAGGTGACAGCATTCCCTCCCCCATATGCCCCCCTAGGCACAACTACAACAACATAACCAACAAAAATGGGTCACAACTCCTGCAGCTCTGTCGCACACTGGGTATGTACATAGTCAATGGTAGGCTTCGCGGGGACTCCTATGGTAGGTACACCTATAGCTCATCTCTTGGCAGTAGTACTGTAGACTACTTTATCACTGACCTCAACCCAGAGTCTCTCAGAGCGTTCACAGTCAGCCCACTGACACCCCTATCAGACCACAGCAAAATCACAGTCTACTTGAACATAGCAATACTCAATCATGAGGCATCAAAGCCAAAGGAACTGAATAATATTAAGAAATGCTATAGATGGAAGGAAAGTAGTGTCGAAACAATTAGGCAACAACAAATTCAATCCCTTTTAGACAACTTCCTGGACAAAACGTTCCACTGTAATAGTGAAGGTGTAAACTTGGCAGTAGAAAACCTAAACAGTATATTTGACCTCTCAGCTTCCTTATCAACTCTAAAAATCTGTAACAGAACACAGAAGAAAAGTAAAAACAGTGACCAATGGTTTGATGAAGAATGCAAAAACCTAAGAAAGAAATTGAGAAACCTATCCAACCAAAAACATAGAGACCCAGAAAACCTGAGCCTACGCCTTCACTATGGTGAATCACTAAAACAATACAGAAATACACTACGGAAAAATAAATAACAGCATGTCAGAAATCAGCTCAATGTAATTGAAGAATCCATAGACTCTAACCACTTCTGGGAAAATTGGAAAACACTAAACAAACAACAACACAAAGAGCTATCTATCCAAAACGGAGATGTATGGGTAAACCACTTCTCCAATCTTTTTGGCCCTATAACAAAGAACAAACAGCAAAAAAATATACACGATCAAATGCAAATCTTAGAATCAACTATTAAAGACTACCAGAACCCACTGGATTCTCCAATTACATTGAATGAACTACAGGACAAAATACAAACCCTCCAACCCAACAAGGCCTGTGGTGTTGATGGTATCCTCAATTAAATGATAAAATATACAGCCCACAAATTCCAATTGGCTATACTTAAACTCTTTAACATCATCCTTAGCTCTGACATCTTCCCCAATATTTGGAACCAAGGACTGATCACCCCAATCCACAAACGTGGAGACAAATTTGACCCCAATAATTACCGTGGGATATGCGTCAACAGCAACCTTGGGAAAATCCTCTGCATTATCATTAACAGCAGACTAGTTCATTTCCTCAGTGAAAACAATGTACTGAGCAAATGTCAAATTGGCTTTTTACCAAATTACCGTATGACAGACCACGTATTCCCCCTGCACACCCTAATTGACAAACAAACGAACCAAAACAAAGGCAAAGTCTTCTCATGCTTTGTTGATTTCAAAAAAGCTTTTGACTCAACTTGGCATGAGGGTCTGCTATACAAATTGATGGAAAGTGGGGTTGGGGGAAAAAAATACGACATTATAAAATCCATATACACAAACAACAAGTGTGCGGTTAAAACACACACATTTCTTTCCACAGGGCCGTGGGGTGAGACAGGGATGCAGTTTAAGCCCCACCCTCTTCAACATATATATCAACGAATTGGCGAGGGCACTAGAACAGTCTGCAGCACCCGGCCTCACCCTACTAGAATCTGAATTCAAATGTCTACTGTTTGCCGATGATCTGGTGCTTCTGTCACCAACCAAGGAGGGCCTACAGCAGCACCTAGATCTTCTGCACAGATTCTGTCAGACCTGGGCCCTGACAGTAAATCTCAATAAGACAAAAATAATGGTGTTCCAAAAAAGGTCCAGTTGCCAGGACCACAAATACAAATTCCATCTAGACACCGTTGCCCTAGAGCACACAAAAAACTATACATACCTCGGCCTAAACATCAGCGCCACAGGTAACTTCCACAAAGCTGTGAACGATCTGAGAGAGAAGGCAAGAAGGGCCTTCTATGCCATCAAAAGGAACATAAAATTTGACATACCAATTAGGATCTGGCTAAAAATACTTGGATCAGTTATAGAACCCATTGCCCTTTATGGTTGTGAGGTCTGGGGTCCGCTCACCAACCAAGAATTTAAAAAATGGGACAAACACCAAATTGGAGACTCTGCATGCAGAATTCTGCAAAAATATCCTCAGTGTACAACGAAAAACACAAAATAATGCATGCAGAGTAGAATTAGGCCGCTAGTTATCAAAATCCAGAAAAGAGCCGTTTTAAATTCTATAACCACTTATAAGGAAGCAATTCCCAAACCTTCCATAACAAAGCCATCACCTACAGAGAGATGAACTTGGAGAAGAGTCATTGTAAATAAGAATTTGTACTTAACTGACGTGCCTGGTTAAATAAATAAATAATAATAATGTGCCTGGTTTGCCAGATTCTGCTCTGTGGTGTGGTGCTGTGTGGCAGACTGCCTGGATCTCGAGTCTCCACACAGCAGGCCTGGCCAGCTAGCAGACCCAGTCTGGGGGAGACCTCAGCCCTCAGTCCTGCTTAATGCCTCTCATCTCGAACCAGTCATAACACCCTTTGTTCCATGTCTGTCTGAGCCTATGGGCACAGGGAGTGAGTTTGGTGTGGAGTGGAGTGGGCTAGCTCTCACTCTCAAACAGAAGGGGGGAGGGCTAAGGTTTGGCCTTGTCTCAAATAGCCCCCCCCCCCCCTTCTGTTTGAGACAAGGCCAAACCTTAGCCCCCCCCCCCCCCCTTCTAAGGTTTGGCCTTGTTTCAAACAGAAGAGGGGAGGGCTAAGGTTTGGCCTTGTCTCAAACAGAAGGGGAGAGGGCTAAGGTTTGGCCTTGTCTCAAACTATCTGCGCTAATGTTGCTATTTTGTAGAAAGACCTTGTTAATAAAAGCCAGATGGCCACAGCTAGATAACTACCTAGCAAGATGACAAATAAACTATTTAATTAAATCTCCATAACCTAATGTTAGCATGTTCGCTAGCTACCACAACATAGCTAGCTAGCTAGCCAAAGACACAGCACTTACTCCGCAGCTAACACAGGCAGCTGTTTCATGGAAACAAGCTAATCCCTTGTGATTTAATTATAACATCAATACAAGCTATAGTGGTTAGCTAGCTTGGAGGAGGGATTTAGTGTTGTGCGCATTGCGTCTGTGCACTAAGCTAGCTACCATCCCGTAGTTTACATTCCATATGAAGAGTGACTGGGTTATTGTGGATGTATGGAGAAAATGCCCTCTTTTTTTCATTTTTTTTTGTTCACTCCCCCACATGGGGGTTCATGCTCTCTGACTGGCTTGAAGTCAAGTTGTTGACCACTGACGAGCATTGCAATTCTATAAGTAGAATTGGTAGGTTTGTTGCTACCAGGTCGGCACGCGGCAGGTACCGCTTTTGTTCTAGCAAGAGAAGGAACGGTCTCCCACTGTGATGAGTACCTATTGGCAGTCAATCAGCAGTGAGATTATTGGTGTGTTTCATGCTTTAGAATGTATATCCTTCATGCACTGTATTCTACTGATGCACTGTATTCTACTGATACACTGTATTCTAGTGATGCACTGTATTCTAGTGATGCACTGTATTCTAGTGATGCACTGTATTCTACTGATGCACTGTATTCTACTGATGCACTGTATTCTAGTGATGCACTGTATTCTACTGATGCACTGTATTCTACTGATGCACTGTATTCTAGTGATGCACTGTATTCTACTGATGCACTGTATTATACTGATGCACTGTATTATACTGATGCACTGTATTATACTGATGCACTGTATTCTAGTGATGCACTGTATTCTACTGATGCACTGTATTATACTGATGCACTGTATTCTAGTGATGCACTGTATTCTACTGATACACTGTATTCTAGTGATGCACTGTATTCTAGTGATGCACTGTATTCTAGTGATGCACTGTATTCTACTGATGCACTGTATTCTACTGATGCACTGTATTCTACTGATGCACTGTATTCTTACTGATGCACTGTATTCTAGTGATGCACTGTATTCTACTAGGATGCACTGTATTATACTGATGCACTGTATTATACTGCACTGTATTCTAGTGATGCACTGTATTCTAGTGATGCACTGTATTCTAGTGATGCACTGTATTCTACTGATGCACTGTATTCTAGTGATGCACTGTATTCTAGTGATGCACTGTATTCTACTGATGCACTGTATTCTACTGATGCACTGTATTCTACTGATGCACTGTATTCTACTGATGCACTGTATTCTAGTGATGCACTGTATTCTACTGATGCACTGTATTCTACTGATGCACTGTATTCTACTGATGCACTGTATTCTACTGATGCACTGTATTCTACTGATGCACTGTATTCTACTGATGCACTGTATTCTAGTGATGCACTGTATTCTACTGATGCACTGTATTCTAGTGATGCACTGTATTCTACTGATGCACTGTATTCTAGTGATGCACTGTATTCTATTACCAAATGCAGAAAACCCAGGCTACTAACTTAGATTTCCTCACCGTATGACTCTCTGGTTCTGTGGAGAGGTCTGACAATGCAGATTCACGGCTGGTTGGGGCTTCAGCAGCAGGGCCTTGGCAGGCAGGCAGCAGTGTGGGTGAGTGGGTGTTTGGCTGGTGGATGCTCTGGTGGCATCTAGCCTCCTGCTCCACCTGTGCTCTCACTCATCAATCCTCCACCATATGGAAACAGCTGGTCCTCTGTGGTGGGCACTGTGTGGTGCCCTGAGCTCCATACATCCTGTAGTCAGGAGGGAGAGGAGTGGAGGGGGAGAGAGAGAGAGAGTGCAGGGAACCAAATCAAATTGTATTGGTCACATACACATATTTAGCAGATGTTATTGCGGGTGTAGCGAAATGCTTGTGTTCCTAGCTCCAACAGTGCAGTAATATCTAACGAAAATAAATTAGAAAAACACCCAGAAAGCTATGGGAAGCAGGCTATGGTGGTGCTGTTTTGGACAGATTTAATTTGAATAGATTTTAATCTTATTGAGGCAATTGACTGTTTAATGAACAGTCAATTGCCTCGTTCGGAAAGTATTCAGACCCCTTTACTTTTTCCACATTTTGTTACGTTACAGCCTTATTCTAAAATGGATTAAATTATTATATTTTCTCATCAATCTACACACAATACCCCATAATGACGAAGTGAAAACAGGTTTTTAGAAATCTTTGCAAATTTATAAAAAATTAAAAACAGATTAAAAACAGAACCTTATTTACAGAAGTATTAAGACCCTTTGCTCTGAGACTCGAAATTGAGCATAGGTGCATCCTGTTTCCATTGATCATCCTTGGGATGTTTCTACAACTTGATTAGTCCACCTGTGGTAAAATCAATTGATTGGACATGATTTGGAATGCCCGGCCAAACTGAGCAATTGGGGGAGAAGGGCCTTTGTCATGGAGGTGACCAAGAACCCGATGGTCATTCTGACAGAGCTCCAGAGTTCTTCTGTGGAGATGGGAGAATCTTCCAGAAGGACAACCATCTCTGCAGTACTCCACCAATTAGGCCTTTATGGTAGAGTGGCCAGACGGAAGCCACTCCTCATTAAAAGGCACATGACAGCCCGCTTGGAGTTTCCAAAAGACTCTCAGACCATGAGAAACAAGATGCTCTGGTCTGATGAAACCAAGATTGAACTCTTTGGCCTGAATGCCAAGCGTCACGTCTGGAGGAAACCTGGCACCATCTCTACGGTGAAGCATGGTGGTGGCAGCATCATGCTGTGGGGATGTTTTTCAGCGGCAGGGACTGGGAGACTAGTCAGGATCAAGGGAAAGATTAACGAAGCAAAGTACAGAGAGTGCCTTGATGAAAACCTGCTCCAGAGCGTTCAGGAACTCAGACTGGGGCGAAGGTTCACCTTCCAACAGGACAACGACCCTAAGCACACAGCCAAGACAACGCAGGAGTGGCTTCGGGACAAGTCTCTGAATGTCCTTGAGTGGCCCAGCCAGAGCCCTGACTTGAACCCAATCGAACATCTCTGGAGAGACCTGAAAAGAGATGTGCAGTGACACACTACATCCGACCTGACAGAGCTTGACAGGATCTGCAGAGAAGAATGGGAGAAACTCCCCAAATACAGGTGTGTCAAGCTTGTAGCATCATACCCAAGAAGAATCGAGACTGTAATCGCTGCCAAAGGTGCTTCAATAAAGTACTGAGTAAAGGGTCTGAATATTTATGTAAATGTGAAATTTACGTTTTTTTAAATGTATAAATTAGCAAACAATTCTAAAAAACAGTTTTTGCTTTGTAATTATGGGGTATTGTGTATAGATTGATGAGGGACAAAATCAATTTAGGACATTTTAGAATAAGGCTGTAACGTAACAAAATGTGGAAAAGGTCAAGGTGTTTGAATACTTTCCGAATGCACTGTAAGTCAGTGTAATAATGGAAAACATGAACCTATTTCCCATGGGTCAGTAATGAGGATGGCCCTCTTGTGATTGGAAGAGGTCACTACATAATCCAGGAAGTAGAGAAGGTCTTAGTTCCAATTACTGCCTTTATGTGGGGATGGACTGAGGGAGAGAGCTTGGTAGAGAAGGAGAGGAGTACATGGGTGGAGGAGGTACAGAGTAGAGTAGGAGAAGAGGGGGTGAAGATTGTAGAAGGATAGAATAGAGTGGGGGGTGAAGATTGTAGACTAATAGAATGGGGGGGTGAAGATGTAGAAGGATAGAATAGGAGGGGGGTGAAGATTGTAGAAGAATAGAATGGGGGGGGTGTAGATTGTAGAAGAATAGAATGGGAGGGTGAAGATTGTAGAAGGATAGAATGGGGGGTGAAGATTGTAGAAGAATAGAATGGGGGGGGGTGAAGATGTAGAAGGATAGAATAGGAGGGGGTGAAGATTGTAGAAGAATAGAATGGGGGGGGGTGAAGATGTAGAAGTTTAGAATAGAGTGGGGGGGTGAAGATTGTAGAAGTATAGAATGGGGGGTGAAAATTGTAGAAGAATAGAATGGGAGGGTGAAGATTGTAGAAGGATAGAATGGGGGGGTGAAGATTGTAGAAAGGTAGAATGGGGGGGTTAATTGTAGAAGTATAGAATGGGGGGGTGAAGATTGTAGAAGGATAGAATAGGAGGGGGGTTAATTGTAGAAGGATAAAATAGTGGGGGGGGGGGGGGGGTGCAGAAGGGTGGAGGAGTCACACTAAAATGCTGCTGGGTCATTATCCTAGCCAGGGGGCGGGACTGTTACTATAAACACTGGCATAACTGTGCTATGTTCTGCACCGGTGAAAACCAGTCAAAAGAATGCAGCTTGGCTAAACAGCTCAACTCCCTCCCTTCTATGCTTCTGTCTTCTTAGGGGTTTTCCAACAGGAGATTTGGCTTTAACTGCAGTCCCGGCCATCCCTTTGTGCCTCTAAATGTGACCCACCGCCTCGATTCAATCTTATGTACCTGGCGCTGACGAAGATGGCGGCCTCACGACTAGCTCTTAGGAAACTTTGCGGTATTTTGGTTTTTTTATGTATTATTTTTACATTATTAGCTCAGAAAGTGTTTTGTATCATTACATACAGCCAGGGAAAAACTATTGGATATCAGAGCTACGGTAACTCACCAGCATTACGACCAGGAATACAACTTTCCTGAAGCAGATCCTTTGTTTGCTCTCCCCAGGGCAACTGAACTGATTCCAGCGGCTGACCCAAAACATCGCCGGCGGAGGAGAGGCACTCGGAGCAGCCTGCTGGTTCGACTTAGGAGGCGCGCACACCACCCACCGCTTCCAAGTATATTACGCGCTAATGTTCAGTCTTTGGATAACAAGGTCAACGAGCTCAGGGCAAGGATTTCTTTCCAGAGAGACATCAAGGCCTGTAACATACTTTGTTTCATGGAAACATGGCTCTCTCTGGATATTCTGTTGAAATGATGGGTTCTCCGTTCATCGCGCAGACAGAAATAAATATATCTCCGGGAAGCAGAAGGGTGGAGGTGTGTGTTTCATGATTAACGACTCATGGTGTTATTGTAGTAACATACAGGAACTCAAGTCCTTTTGTTCACCCGACCTAGAATACCTCACAATCAAATGCCGTCCGTATTATCTCCCAAGATAATTTTCTTTGGTTGTAGTCACGGCCGTGTATATCCCCCCTCAAGCCGATACCACGACGTCCCTCAAAGAACTTCACTGGACCTTATGCAAACTGGAAACCACATATCCTGAGGCTGCATTTATTGTAGCCGGGGATTTTAACAAAGCAAATTTGAGGACAAGGCTGCCGAAGTTCTATCAACATATTGACTGTTGTACTCGGCTGCTAAAATTCTCGACCATTGCCATTTGAACTTCCGGGATGGTTATAAGGCCCTCCCCCGCCCTCCTTTCGGCAAATCTGAACACGACTCCATTTTGCTCCTCCCTTCCTATAGGCAGAAACTCAAACAGGAAGTACCCATGCTAAGGACAATTCAACGCTGGTCTGACCAATCGGAATCCACGCTTCAAGATTGTTTTGATCACGCAGACTGGGATATGTTCCGGGTAGCTTGCGAAAATAATTTAGACGAATACACTGAAACGGTGACTGAGTTTATCAGGAAGTGTATAGGAGATGTTGTGCCCACCGTGACTATTAAAATCTACCCTAACCAGAAACCGTGGGTAGATGGCAGCATTCGTGCAAAACTGAAAGCGCGAACCACCACATTTAACCATGGCAAGGTGACTGGGAATATGGCAGAATGCAAACAGTGTAGCTACTCACTCCGCAAGGCAATTAAACAGGCAAAACGTCAGTGTAGGGACAAAGTGGAGTTGTAATTCAACGGCTCAGACACGAGGCAGGGTCTATAGACAATCATGGACTACAGAAGGAAAACCAGCCACGTCGCCGAGACAGTCTTGCTTCTGGACAAGCTAAACACCTTCTTCGCCCGCTTTGAGGATAACACAGTGCCACCGATGCGGCCCACTACCAAGGACTGTGTGCTCTCCTTCTCCGTGGCCGACGTGAGTAAAACATTTCAACATGTTAACCCCTGCAAGGCTGCCGGCCCAGACGGCATCCCTAGCCGCGTCCTCAGAGCATGCGCAGACCAGCTGGCTGTTGTGTTTACGGACATTTTCAATCTCTCCCTATCCCAGTCTGCTGTCCCCACATGCTTCAAGATGGCCACCATTGTTCCTGTACCCAAGAAAGCAAAGGTAACTGAACTAAATGACTATTGCCCCGTAGCACTCACCTCTGTCATCATGAAGTGCTTTGAGAAACTAGTCAAGGATCATATCACGTCTACCCTTACCCGTCACCCTAGACCCACTTCAATTTGCTTTACCGCCCCAATAGATCCACAGACGATGCAATCGCCATCACACTGCACACTGCCCTATCCCAGCTGGACAAGAGGAATACCTATGTAAGAATGCTGTTCATTGACTATAGCTCAGCATTCAACACCATAGTACCATCCAGCTCATCATTAAGCTCGAGGCCCTGGGTCTGAACCCCTCCCTGTGCAACTGGATCCTGGACTTCCTGACGGGCCGCCCCCAGGTGGTGAAGGTAGGAAACATCTCCACTTCGCTGATCCTTAACACTGGGGCCCCTCAAGGGTGCGTGCTCAGCCCCCTCCTGTACTCCCTATTCACCCATGACTGTGTGGCCAAGCACGCCTCCAACTCAATCATCAAGTGTGCAGACGACACAACAGTAGTAGGCTTGATTACCAACAATGACGAGACAGCCTACAGGGAGGAGGTGAGGGCTCTGGGTGTGTGGTGCCAGGAAAATAACCTTTCACTCAACGTCAACAAAACAAAGGAGATGATCGTGGACTTCAGGAAACAGCAGAGGGTGCAACCCCCTATCCACATCGACGGGACCGCAGTGGAGAAGGTGGAAAGCTTCAAGTTCTTTGGCGTCCACATCACTGACAAACTGAAATGGTCCACCCACGCAGACAGTGTGGTGAAGAAGGCGCAATAGAGCCTCTTCAACCTCAGGAGGCTGAAGAAATTTGGCTTGGCACCTAAAACCCTCACAAACTTTTACAGATGCACAATTGAGAGCATCCTGTCGGGCTGTATCACCGCCTGGTACGGCAACTGCACCGCCCACAACCGCAGGGCTCTCCAGAGGGTGGTGCGGTCTGCTGAACGCATTACCTGGGGTAAACTACCCGCCCTCCAAGACACATACAACACCCGATGTCACAGGAAGGCCAAAAAGATCATCAAGGACCTCAACCACCCTAGCCACTGCCTGTTCACCCCGCTATCATCCAGAAGGCGAGGTCAGTACAGGTGCATCAAAGCTGGGACCGAGAGAATGAAAAACAGCTTCTATCTCAAGGCCATCAGACTGTTAAATAGCCATCACTAGCACATTAGAGGCTGCTGCTGCCTATTGAAATCACTGCCCACTTTAAGAAATGGAACACTAGTCACTGTAATAATGTGCTATATTCTATAATATTCTGCTATATCTTAGTCCATGCCGTTCTGTCATTGCTCGTCCATATATGGATACATTCTTAATTCCATTCCTTACTTAGATTTGTGTGTATTGGGTATATGTTGTGAAATTGTTAGATATTACTTGTTAGATATTACTGCACTGTCGGAGCTAGAAGCACAAGCATTTCGCTACACCCGCAATAACATCTGCTATACACGTGTATGTGAGAAATACAATTTGATTTGATTTGTAGCAAAATTGTGTTTTTTTTTTTTAAAGAAGAGACTCAGAGCTTCAAAATATTATATCAAACACTGCAGTTGAGGAACAATGGGAAAGTAATTCTGCTTTGAAAGTTGAGAAAATGGCCCATAAATGTACTGGAGAGCTCTTATTTGTCTACACCTATTCAGCATCGTTCACACCCTCTTAAGCCCCACCCATCTCTTGAAGGATTCACATGTGAGGCCATGTGCTAAACAGAGTGAGTAAGGTAGTGTAGTAAACAACCAAAGATGGTATCCTACAATAAGGGAAAAACTCCAGGTAAAAATACACTTTATCTAGTCCTTGGCCAATATCCTAATCTGACTTTGAAAGTGTCCAGATAAAAATATTTTATAAATATTTTATCATTATTAGATGCTCACCCAGACACTTGTCTAAATTGATGGGTCATGTGAAAGAAATGCTATAACCACCCCCCAGCCACATCTAGCTATGGGTCACTGTTGTCTTGACATGTACGCATGTTCATGAAATACAATAGATGACCGTAATCACCCCCAGATACACCTGGCTAACTTGATGGGTCATGTAATCATCTGGCAAAGTGGAATCTTTTGTTTAGACATCTAGCTAGCTAGCTAGCTAAACAATCCCAACCTATAGCTACAGTACAAATGGATTGTCATAGCTAGCCACATGAAATGCTGTAGTATGAATCTGCAGGTAGCTAAAGCAAACCAACTAGGTTCAATATTAGCTAGCTGAGCAGCTCACGGATAGACAGAAGTGTACTACATGGCAGACCAATCCGAACTAATCTCTCGGCATGTCCAGCCCAGCCATTATCTCAGCCAATCATGGCTAGCGGGAAGTTTCCTGTCTTTTTCCGTGGCTAAACCAACTAGGCTCGTAATTTAACAATTTTATTGGTATTTACAGATGGCATACAAGTTTGTTATTAAGGCACATGAAAGTTCACATGTTCCAGAAGGCATTTCTGCCCAAAAACACATTTTGATAAAAATAAATGTAAAAAAAACGTTCCAATGGCTCTCCTGTGAAGAGGTGACATGCGACATACGCCTAGCTTCTTGAAACAGGTCACACATGAGTAGTTGTTTCCCCTCAAAAGTCAGGGAAGCAATTTGGGGTTGCCCTGGTGTTGGCTGTGTATGTTCCCCTGGGAAGGGAAAATAAGTAGTGGGTGAAAAACAGCCAGATGACAGTCTCTGATGTAGACTTGAAAGAGTTGTCATGGAGGAATGGACTTCCTAGGTGAGCTGGGTTGCCACCAGATCAGCTTCAAAGAGTGCTGTGCCATCGTCTGTCCCCATGGTGATACTGGGAACACAGAACAAAAGTCACAGGCCCCGCCCCCCCTCTCTGTCTGCTCCTCTGTGTCCGCCCCTCTCTGAGCCTCCATAGGAGGAGAGGAGGGGGAGGTTTTGAGCAATCTTCTGGAAGTGAAGGGAGGGGTTCTATGGAGCCACCCACTATCCATGCAGCCAGTCATACTACACTCAGTCACTACTGCAAATGTCTATATTGTTTGTCTGTGGCATTCCTCCTGATCCACAAAGTCCTAGAGGGATGATGAGATCCAGTCCTGAATGTGCTCCCCTCAGACTTTGCTGAGGGGATTTTCAGTGAAATTTGATCAGAATGAGTCTTTAAAACTGAGGGACAATATCATCCTTGTCTAAGTACACATTGCTCATTGAGTGATCGAGCTAGTGAATGCCAGCCAGCCCATCGTACAGTCAAAAGTCATTCATTACTGCACCAGGTATTTCTCTAACTTACCATGTATGTTTCTGTCTTTTACAGCAAAGAGCCTCAGGCAAGGTGCTGTTTGACCTGGTGTGTACCCACCTGAACCTCGTTGAGGGAGACTACTTCGGCCTAGAATACCAAGACCACAAGATGATGGTGAGTGAAGAAAAAGACAGTCCTTAACTTAGGGGTTGTTTCTGGACTGGGTGTTAGCTTGTTTCTTCTTGAGGTGTTAGTGTAGAAGCCTTGAATTCATCTCTCTATGCTGACTAAGGGGCGTTTTGCTTTCCTTCGGTTCACAGGTTTGGCTAGACCTCCTAAAGCCAATTGTCAAGCAGCTGAGACGTAAGTCCCCTGACTTCATTACACACTTTTACATGGCTGGCAATGGACAGTTCATGCTTCATTTGCTTCAACTAACACTGGTGGTATGGTTGCTAACAGAAGAAAATGTATCAAGCCAAAACATGGAAACATTAAATCAAATCAAATCAAATTGTATTGGCCACATGCGCCGAATACAACAGGTGCAGACATTACAGTGAAATGCTTACTTACAGCCCTTAACCAACAGTGCATTTATTTTTAATAAAAAAGTAAACTAAAACAACAACAAAAAAGTGTTGAGAAAAAAGAGAGCAGAAGTAAAATAAAATAACAGTAGGAAGGCTATATATACAGGGGGGTACCGGTGCAGAGTCAATGTGCGGGGGCACCGGCTAGTTGAGGTAGTTGAAGTAATATGTACATGTGGGTAGAGTTGAAGTGACTATGCATAAATAATTAACAGAGTAGCAGCAGCGTAAAAAGATGGGGTGGGGGGTCAGTGCAAATAGTCCGGGTAGCCATGATTAGCTGTTCAGAAGTCTTATGGCTTGGGGGTAGAAGCTGTTGAGAAGTCTTTTGGACCTAGACTTGGCACTCCGGTACCGCTTGCCGTGCGGTAGCAGAGAGAACAGTCTATGACTAGGGTGGCTGGAGTCTTTGACAATTTTGAGGGCCTTCCTCTGACACCGCCTGGTATTGAGGTCCTGGATGGCAGGAAGCTTGGCCCCAGTGATGTACTGGGCCGTACGCACTACCCTCTGTAGCCTTTCATTGAGGGCCTAGTTATACCCTAATACAGTGGTGTTAGGAATCTCCTGGTTTACAGACCACATCAGACCTGCAAGTCACATTATGTAATTCCTATTGGAATCCAGCCAGAGTTAGGATAGCCAACAAGTGGAATTGTTTATCACCCACAACCTGCATTTAGATTGACTGCCATGGTAAGACAAATGTCTTTGAAAGAAGGAGACAGCTAGGATACTTAATTTAGTTGTGGCGTGAGGAAGCCTCAACACCCTGTCCCATCCAAGCAAACTTAAAGTGATGCTCCAGAACTTTTTTTAAATAATTTCAGCCAGTCATTTTGAAAGTGGTACCCGTTTTGTGTGTACTACTTGTCATCCAATTGTGTACTACTATCTACCGTCTATGTAGGGTTCTTCAAAGAACCCCCAGTATATGGTTCTGCCTAGAACCTTCTATGATGGGTTCTACCAAGAACCATTTTATATTTGGAGGGTTCTTCCTAGAACCCTACATGAAGGGTTCTACCAATAACCATTTTATCTTATAACCTTTTTTTAAAATGTTAAATTAAATATATCATATGGCCTTTCATTGAGGGCCTAGTTATACCCTAATACAGTGGTGTTAGGAATCTCCTGGTTTACAGACCACATCAGACCTGCAAGTCACATTATGTAATTCCTATTGGAATCCAGCCAGAGTTAGGATAGCCAACAAGTGGAATTGTTTATCACCCACAACCTGCATTTAGATTAGATTGCCAGGGTAGGGAGGATTGAATACTGAGACTACCTCAATCGTCTAAACTGGAACAACCATCTCAGTAACGGGTGCAATAAATCCAGATACTATCAGATTGGATTAGTTTAGAAAACGGCATGTTATTTATCTTTGTGTAGCGTTAAATTAATCAACCAACCAATGTACATGCAAAAACACAGGTATTACAGTAAAACAAACAATTCTGAAAAGCTTCCTGCAATAGAGCAATAGAGCAGGAAATATGATATAGGGTTCTATGTAGAAGCCTTCTTGCCTTCCGAATAATCCTTCTTGCCTTGCAAAGAATCATCAAAGAACCCTTTCTTCCAAAAATGGTTCTTAGGATGTTAAAGGTTCTAGGTAGAACCCTTATCCTTACAAAGAACCCTTGCCTTGGTTCTTCTGATCAAAACGGTTTTGGTAGAACCCTATCCCTCCGCAAAGAACCCTTTTGGAACTATTTTATCTAAGTGTACCATACCCTGTTCAAAGGCACTTACATATTTTGTCTTGCCCATTCACCCTCTGAATGGCACACGAACACAATCCATGTCTCAATTGTCTCAAGGCTTAAAAATCCTTATTTAATCAACACTGATTGAAGTGGATTTAACAAGTGACATCAATAAGGGATCTTAGCTTTCACCTGTATTCACCTGGTCAGTCTATGTCATGGAAAGAGCAGGTGACCTTAATGTTTTGTGCACTCAGTGTATATTATTTTGCAATTCGTATGATATCTTACGAATCTAATTCTTACAATAGGTTACAAATCTGTTATGCTTAAAATCCCAAACTGCATCGTTATTCACACACAGAGACCATCTTTCTTCCAGACTGAGGCTCCGCTGTTAAAACTTGTACATCTCGAGTCATAAAGCTTTCATCAAGTCTTATGGAAGACTGGTTTGCTCATCTACAAACAAGTATTTTTTTTGGTGCATAAGAGCAAGTACAATGCTTGTTATGATCTCATTGGTCGGTGAGACATAACCCAAATTCAGGTCAAAGTGTAATTGAGCAAAAGGAATCATGGAGATCCTGTTCTAACTCCTAATTCTATGACAGGAATCTCCAGATAGTTTGTTTAGAATGTGTTCTCTGTTGCTCTATAACCATGCCATTATCTGACACCCACAGGGCCCAAGCACACAGTCCTGAGATTTGTGGTGAAGTTCTTCCCCCCAGACCACGCCCAGCTACTGGAGGAATTGACTAGGTAAGACTAAACAGAAAGAAGCCTAGGTTTAACCAGCGACATACCAACTGCCATTTCAGACTCCTCCCTATAGGCTGTCTCGTCGTTGTCGGTGATCAGGCCTAAAACTGTTGTGTCATCGGCAAACTTAATGATGGTGTTGGAGTCGTGCTTGGCCATGCAGTCTAGAGTGAACAGGGAGTACAGGAGGGGACTGAGCACAAACCTCTGAGGGGCCCCCGTGTTGAGGATCAGCATGGCAGATGTGTTGTTACCTACCCTTACCACCTGGGGTCAGCCCATCAGGAAGTCCAGGATCCAGTTACAGAGGGAGGTGTTTAGTCCCAGGGTCCTTAGCTTAGTGATGAGCTTTGAGGGCACTATGGTGTTGAACGCTGAGCTGTAGTCAATGAATAGCATTCTCACATGGGTGTTTCTTTTGTCCAGGTGTGAAAGGGCAGTGTGGAGCGCAATAGAGATTGCATCATCTGTGGATCTGTTGGGGCAGTATGCACATTGGAGTGGGTCTAGGGTTTCTGGGATAATGGTGTTGATGTGAGCCATGACCAGCCTTTCAAAGCACTTCATGGCTACAGACGTGAGTGCTACGGGTAGGTAGTCATTTAGGTAGGTTACCTTAGTGTTCTTGGGGACAGGGACTATGGTGGTCTGCTTGAAACATGTTGGTATTACAGACTCAGACAGGGAGAGGTTGAAAATGTCAGTGAAGACACTTGCCAGTTGGTCAGCGCATGCTCGGAGTACACGTCCAGGTAATCCGTCTGGCCCTGCGGCCTTGTGAATGTTGACCTGTTTAAAGGTCTTACTCACATCGGCTACGGAGAGTGTGATCACACAGTGGTCCGGAACAGCTAATGCTTTCATGCATGTTTCAGTGTTACTTGCCTCGAAGTAAGCATAGAAGTAATTTAGCTTGTCTGGTAGGCTTGTGTCACTGGCCAGCTCGCATGTGCTTCCCTTTGTAGTCTGTAATAGTTTGCAAGCCCTGCCACATCAGACGAGCGTCGGAGCCGGTGTAGTACGATTCGATCTTAGTCCTGTATTGGACGCTTTGCCTGTTTGATGGTTCGTCGGAGGGTGTAGCAGGATTTCTTCTAAGCGTCCAGGTTAGTGTCCCGCTCCTTGAAAGTGGCAGCTCTACCCTTTAGCTCAGTGCGGATGTTTCCTGTAATCCATGGCTTCTGGTTGGGGTATGTACGTACAGTCACTGTGGGGATGAGGTCATCGATGCACTTATTGATGAAGCCAGTGACTGATGTGGTGTACTCCTCAATGCCATCGGAAGAATCCCGGAACATATTCCAGTCTGTGCGAGCAAAACAGTCCTGTAGCTTAGCATCTGCTTCACCTGACCACTTTTTTATTGACCGAGTCACTGGTGCTTCCTGCTTTAGTTTTTGCTAGGAGGATAGAATTATGGTCAGATTTGCCAAATGGAGGGCGAGGGAGAGCTTTGTACGCGTCTCTGTGTGTGGAGTAAAGGTGGTCTCTAGGAGTGCCGCCTCTGGATGAGCGTTTTCCTGTTTACTTATGGCCTTATACAGTTCATTGAGTGTGGTCTTAGTGCCAGCATCGGTTTGTGGTGGTAAATAGACAGCTACGAAGAATATAGATGAAAACTCTCTTGGTAGATAGTGTGGTCTACAGCTTATCATGAGATACTCTACCTCAGGCGAGCAAAACCTTGAGACTTCCTTAGATATCGTGCACCAGCTGTTGTTTACAAATATACATAGACCGCCACCCCTTGTCTTAGCAGAGGCTGCCGTTCTATCCTGCCGATACAGTGTATAACCCGCCAGCTGTATGTTATTCATGTCGTCGTTCAGCCACGACTCGGTGAAACATAAGATATTACAGTTTTTAACGTCCCGTTGGTAGGATATACATGCTTGTAGTTCATCCACTTTATTATCAAGCGATTGTATGTTGGCCAATAGTATCGATGGCAAAGGCAGGTTAGCCACTTGTCGCCGGCTCCTTACCAGGCACCCCGATCTCCTTCCGCGATATCTCCTTTTCTTTCTACTGCGAATGACTGGGATGAGGGCCCTGTCGGGTGTCTGGAGCAAATCCCTCTCGTCCGACTCATTAAAGAAATGTTATTCGTCCAGTTCAAGGTGAGTAATGGCTGTTCTGATGTCCAGAAGCTCTTTTCTGTCATAAGAGACGATGGTAGCAGCAACGTTATGTACAAAATAAGTTACAAACAATGCGAAAAAATAAATTAAAAATAGCACGGTTGGTTAAGAGTCCATAAAACGTCTGCCATCCCCTCCGGCGCCTCCAAGTGATTCCTTTCCTGTTCCTCCCTCCTGTGTTGTGGCCTGACAGGTTTTGATGTTAACCACAGCCAGTCATCCTATTGGCTCTGTTCTAACCTTTCTCTTTGTCCCATGATGGTCCAGGTATCTCTTCGCCCTGCAGATCAAGCATGACCTTGCCTGTGGACGTCTGACCTGCAACGACAGTAGCGCCGCCCTGCTGGTCTCCCATGTTATCCAATGTACGTCTCTCTGTTACTTTCCCTGTGGCTTCACAGAGCCAATAGGATCACAGAGCCAATAGAGCATATACATGTGTAGGAAAACAGAACCTTCTTCAAACTGTGTCAAACAGGATGTGGCGCAGCATCCCAAATTAAGAATCAGTGTGTTGCCATGGATACCTTTTTAGTATTCCTCTGAATGAATGAAATGTGGGAAGACACTGACAGAGAGAGCTTTTTGAAAAGCTGTCCGTTCCTCTGCCTGGATTCTAATGCTAGAGGGAGCTGTCAAAAGTGTGATCAAAGAGGGAAGAGGCATGGATGAGGATGGATTCTAGTCGATTGAATCTATTCTAATCTATTCTATTTAGGGATATATGCAAATAATCTGAATTGCTATCAACCAGCAGTGATGCAGATCATTTACACAGCGTAGGCCTACGCACTGCACACAATGTAATACGATGTTCTAATACGATCCCCTGACTTTAACCCTTTGTTCTCCAGCTGAGACTGGGGACTTTGAGGAGAGCCAGAGTCGGCAGCACCTCCTCAACAACAGCTACATTCCTGACCAGGTGGCTTTGATGGACAAGATCATGGAGTTCCACTCCAAGAATGGGTGAGTAGCTCCTCTGTAACTGGTGTGTCAGGTCTGGAAGCAGAGCTTTTCAGGCGTTATTCTGGTGGCCTCTGAACAGGTCAAGGTAGATAAAGACCTCCATACGTACACGTCCCAAGGGAATGTTTTCTACCCAGGTGACACAGTCAGGAAACTCACCACTGACTGAACAGTGTTCTTTATTTCAGTGTGTTAACTCTTTATCATGTTTAGACCAGCCCCTGGGTTGGTTGAGTGGTTAGGGCCTGGAGGGGAATGTGGTGATGTCTGCTTTATCAGAAACACTTCATGGGTCCCCAGAAAGCCTAATGAGCAACACACCAGACTTCAGCAGGGAAACGGCTAACGACTTTGGAGCAACACACCAGACTTCAGCAGGGAAACGGCTAACGACTTTGGAGCAACACACCAGACTTCAGCAGGGAAACGGCTAACGACTTTGGAGCAACACACCAGACTTCAGCAGGGAAACGGCTAACGACTTTGGAGCAACACACCAGACTTCAGCAGGGAAACGGCTAACGACTTTGGAGCAACACACCAGACTTCAGCAGGGAAACGGCTAACGACTTTGGAGCAACACACCAGACTTCAGCAGGGAAACGGCTAACGACTTTGGATTTCCATTGTTAAACCTTTGTCACTGAACAGGTTGGCACAAGGGAAATGGCTGCTTGAACTCATTCACTGTAACTTCTCCTTCTCCCAGTATTTCCTTCTATTATTTGTTTCCTAATTTGCTAGTTCTGAGCTCCTTGGAGAACAAAATGTAGAAGGCTTCCATATCCCACAATCCCCTTACTGTCCACCTCATTGATGCAGCAGGCCAGGAGGACATGGCCATCCCTTCCCTCACCCCCAGTCCTCCATGCTACACTGGTGTCACCCCCAGTCCTCCAATCTACAGTGATGTCACCCCCAGTCATCCATGCTACACTGGTGACACCCCCAGACCTCCAATCTACAGTGGTGTCACCCCCAGTCCTCCAATCTGCAGTGGTGTCACCCCCAGTCCTCCATGCTACACTGGTGTCACCCCCAGTCCTCCAATCTACAGTGATGTCACCCCCAGTCCTCCATGCTACAGTGATGTCACCCCCAGACCTCCAATCTACAGTGGTGTCACCCCCAGTCCTCCAATCTACAGTGGTGTCACCCCCAGTCCTCCAATCTACAGTGGTGTCACCCCCAGTCCTCCATGCTACCCTGGTGTCAGCCCCAGTCCTCCAATCTACAGTGGTGTCACCCCCAGTCCTCCAATCTACAGTGATGTCACCCCCAGTCCTCCATGCTACAGTGGTGTCACCCCCAGTCCTCCATGCTACCCTGGTGTCACCCCCAGTCCTCCAATCTACAGTGGTGTCACCCCCAGTCCTCCAATCTACAGTGATGTCACCCCCAGTCCTCCACGCTACAGTGATGTCACCCCCAGTCCTCCACGCTACACTGGTATACAGAGATTGGCGCTCACCAGGCAGCTGACAAGATGAAAGGATCTCCGTTAGATTTGACTGCCCTCCCTGACTTGTCCTTTTTCTGTATTTTCAGCTGATAACAGTAACCACAGTTCTCCTGGCAGGGAGCCATGCTCAGAGTTACATCTATAATTAACTACAGCACACAGGAAACAGGAAAGCTTTTTCACAGATAAGAATTAGGGAAGTGAGTTACCATGCAGTTTCGTTTCTACCCAGACCTCGGTGGTGTGTGGTGTCAGCTGAATGTGGGAACAGATTGACATGTGGCTTGGTCTCTCACCTCAATTGCAGTATTTGATTGGAAGATATTATTCACATTTAAAGTAACATTTTTGATTAAGAGCAGTCAGGTTCAGAAGCCCAAAGTGGAAATCAAATGTAACTGTTTGTGGACCCCTGGAATTCTGACGCATCCCACCTCAACTCCACCTTGCCGTGATTATGAGAGACTTTGTGTGAGACTGTGTCCCAAATGGCTTCCTATTCCCTATTTAGTGTCCAGGGGTCAAAATAGTGCATTAAAATAGGGAATAGGGTGCCATTTGGAACGAATCCTTGGAGGCCTCTTGAGACTTCCATGAGACTTGACCCAGACTGCTGTCCGTGTGCTTGTAGGGGTCAGACGCCAGCGGAGTCAGACTACCAGCTGCTGGAGGTGGCACGCAGACTGGAGACGTATGGGGTTAGACTGCACCCTGCCAAGGACCGCGAGGGCAGCAAGCTGAGCCTGGCCGTGGCACACGCTGGTGTCCTGGTCTTTCAGGTACTACTTTACAGGTCAACGCCGAGTAGAGGTGGACGGAGTAAGAGGATTTATAGACTGCTGTTTATCATTAGAAACCTACAGGATATTTGATCATGAGTTTGATGTGGATGGTGTAATAGCAAGTTGGTAGTAAATGATTTAACAAGCTTGGTTATGCCACAATGTAAGACACTTGCAGCTGTCACACTTTTCAGTTCCACTTTTCAGCTGTTCCACTTTGAAGTGACATTTTAATGACAGGCTTTTGACAACATGTAACAGTTTCTCTGTTCACAAATCTATTGGGATTAAGAGCTAGCAAGTTCTATTTGAGGAATGTGGAACTGATGTTTGATGACATGATTAGGAAGATGAACAGGCTGATTTTTATTGCATGTCACACGCCGTGTTAAACCTCTGTGTGGATTTCTTCATCCGCTGCAGGGACACACCAAGATCAATGCCTTAAACTGGTCCAAAGTGCGCAAATTAAGCTTCAAGAGGAAGCAATTTCTCATCAAGCTCAGACCAGACCTAAACGTAAGTCATATGGTCATGGACCTTAGCAAGATCCACCATTCATATTCATGTAAATATCACCAATGCCTAAAGCCTTCAGCCCTGAGTTTCCATTGATGTGTGTTACATCTATATGTGTCCCCTCTGCAGCAGAGCTCATACCAGGACACTCTGGAGTTCCTGATGGGTAGTCGGGACTGCTGTAAAGTCTTCTGGAAGATCTGTGTGGAATACCACGCCTTCTTCCGCCTCTTCGAGGAGCCCAAAGCCAGGCCCAAGCCTGTCCTCTTCACCCGAGGCTCCTCCTTCAGATTCAGGTAGACCAGCTGGCCCCTTGAAGGCCCCTGGGGCCACACAATAATAAAGCATCTCTGTCACTCAGGACACAGGAGATAGCAGGTTCGTTGAAAAACCAGTCAGTGCCTCAGTTTGAATCTCATTTCCTACCTGTCACCTGGACAGAACTTCTCCAGCTCTACTCTAGGTTCACTGACCTCAATCATCTACCTTGCTACTTCTCTCTCTCTCCGCAGCGGTCGGACACAGAAGCAGGTGATTGATTATGTGAAGGACTCCGAGTTTAAGAAGATCCCGTTTGAAAGGTAAAGACTTAACGTTTGTGTTTTCTATCTAGACGTGCAAAGAGAGAGAGAGACTGTGTGAGGGTTGCCAGGTGTATAACATATCCACTTTCCATCATCTTCCCCTCTTCAGGAAACACAGTAGGGTCCAGCACAGCAGCCGCATGTCTCCACTGCCTTCCCCTCATCACCCCCAAGTGCCAAAAGAAGTCAGTGTCTCCTTCAGTGTTCCCACACACGGTCCATTAGAGGCTAACGTGCTAAATTACACTTTGTGCAACTCTATCTGATAGCCGACCCAGCATGTCTTCATCTAGAAAGACTATGAATATGAAATATACTGCTTAGAATATAGAGCTAATAATTGACTAGAAGGAATAACTAATCCATGTAACACAATAACTCAATTTCCTTGTTTAACTGTTAAACCTTTAGCGCTCTCTTTCTCTTCTCTGTTCTCTGTTCTCCACAGAGTGTGAGCGGTGCTTCAGGGGACAGAGTGGAGGTGGACTCTCCTCCCCCCCGTCACTGGAAGGAGTCTGTATTGGTGAACGCTGAGGACCCGTCAGCCCTGCGGATCAGAGGCAGCCCTTCCAGCCAGAGGAACGGGGGACGCGGCGAGGACAGCCCAAGCCCCGGAACAGAACCAGGCCCAGCCAGGCAGCCCCACCCAGACCATCTGAACACAGGTCCAGCCTCCCGGGGCGCTAAGGGCAGCAGCTCCTCCATCCCCTACATTGACTGCAGTGATATAGATAATGAATACGACGTAGCCAAGGGCGGGGTTACCAGGTCTTACCATACTGACAGCTATGGGGAGGAGGCGGCAGGCCCCCGCCGTGGCAGTATAAACGATCGGGAACTGGGTAGGATGAGGTACAGAGAGTCCCCTCCCTCCCCTAAACCAACCCTCAATATGAGCTGTGAGTTAGATGAGCCGGCCAACCTGTCGTTCTTCGGCGGTGGTCCGCCCCGTGGCCCTCTCCATAGCACTATGATGGAGGAGTTGGGGGGTGGTGGGATTGGGGACCAGCGTAGCAGCAGCCCCCCGACGGTCCGCCTGTTAGGCTCTAAGAGCAGCACCTCCAGCCCCGTCATGAGCACCTTCCAGCGGACCGGCTCACTCAGCCACGCCGAGCAAAACGGCCACGGCTCCAGGCCCCCACGCTGTGACGACCGGGGTCACGGGGGGTTTAACGCCCAGAGGGGCCATGGGGGGTCCCGAGGCCAGGGCCAGGCCCCATCCCACTACGGCAGCTACTCGCCCATCATGACCCACTCGCCACACTTACAGAAGCTCCACAACATGCGTAACCGTTCCGACACAGACCCCTTCGTCCTGAGCTGGCAGCAGGCCACCTCCACGCCCTCCCACGAGCCCCGGCCTGTCACCTCCCACATGGCTGCTCTGGAGCGCCGCATGTTGGCCAACGACCTGTCTGCCCCTGGCCAGCCCAAGCCCAGCCCTTTACAGAAGCTGTACAGCCAGGCTGGTGTAGACCACGTAGGGGCTGTTCAGATGATTGACCGCCCCACCAGCAGTGGCACAGAGTCCAGTGACTCGGAGACCGAGACCACCACGGGTAGCTCCAGCAGCCACCCGCTGACCTACGGTAACCCCATGGCCGTGCAGGTCAACTACCCCTCCCCCTCCCCCTCCCCCATACCCAGGAACAAGTACTCCTTTGGGAGCCTCCAGCTGGATGAGGAGATGGAGGAGGATGGCTGCCTTAACTTTAGTGATGAGGACGGGGCACAGGTGTTCAGCTGTTAGGCTACCCCAGAGGAAGGAAGTCCAGAGACCTGCTCTGTAGGCAGGGTGGCATTGGCTCTGAGAGGAGAGGGATGCTCTTGTGGTTAGCATGGGAGATGGCGATAGCTATGCTAGTTTGTGTGAAGGGACAGATGCTACTCAGAAGGGTCAAGTCGGGGCTAACTCCCGTCACACTCCTCTGTCTCTGTGCAGCCTACACTAACTGAGGGTGCGTTCGTAAATTCAGACTGGCCATCTACTATTTCAGAGCACTCTCGTCTGAGTGTGCCAGAGTGCAGAATAACTGATTAAATTACGAACGCTCAACACCCGTTGAATATGGCCGGTGTCAGTAAATGTCGGCAAAAAAGCGCTATTACATTGTTGCCAGCAGCACAGTTACAGTCACCAACGCTCTGGATAACATGAAAACAGCCTAACCAGCTCTGCTAGGGCGAGAAAAATTGTCAGAGTTGGGTGTTCTCTCATTTATGTCTGGAAGTAGCTAGCAAGCTAGGTAACTTTAGCCAGTTAACTTGGCTGCTTGACTGCCATTGTGAGGTCAGAACGCTCGGATCAACCCTATTCCTCGGCCAGAGCGTCCAGTGTGCACTCTGAACGCTCCGAGAGCGAAACACTCAGAATTTACGAATGCCCAGATCACACTCCGAGTGCTCTCCTGGCACTCCAGAGTGAATTAACGAACGCACCCTGAGTATACAGTAAAGTCTGCTCTGCCATGAGCCAGCCTGACACTCTGTTTTCCATTGGGTTGCTCTGCCCTTTAACTGAGAGAGGGGGATGAAAGCTCTCTGCTCTCTTCTCTTCTACCCTTAGGGGGTTAACCTTTTCATGTCTGTTCTGACTGTATTGGTGTCTCTGCACACACCAGGTGGTTCACAGTTAGAGACATCATTGTTTTCAAGTGCCAAGTCTTTTGAAAGACCACTGTACAGCACTGTGAATCAATCCAGTCGAAACCCCCTGATGCTCTGTTTCTAGCTGAACTTTTGGGATGAAGTCGAGGGAATATTGTTTCTGGAGCTGCACATAGATATTGTTCTGTGAGCGGACTTGGCTTGCACACTCGACGTGGCGTCTACAATAATGCATTGTATTGTTTATTGATTGTTGGAGAGTTCCAATTCTCTGTCAAATGCCATCATGTGTCTTCATAACGTTACTGTATAACATGTCCATTCTGTCAGTGGACAGGATGTTGTTGTTTGGCTAGTGTGTCGATGGGGGAGTTGGTCTATTTTTTATACAGTACTGTATATGTGTTGCTTTTTTAATCATTATGATCATATTGTAGACTCTTGTGATTGGTTCATGTTAATCAGGTTTACTAATAAAAGAGAGAGACAGGCTGTTTCCTGTGACTTTCTATGTTGCCTGCCGTTGGATATGTGATTCATTGTTAATATTTAGGGAGTTGCTTAGGAGAACACAAGAGTATTGAGTATACATGTTGCTTGTGCTGTACTGTACATACGGTCGGTCTCAAATTAGTGTCCATAGTGAGAGGACTATAGTAGTGAGGGGACTATAGTAGTGAGAGGACTACAGTAGTGAGAGGACTACAGTAGTGAGAGGACTACAGTAGTGAGAGGACTATAGTAGTGAGAGGACTATAGTAGTGAGAGGACTACAGTAGTGAGAGGACGACAGTAGTGAGAGGACTATAGTAGTGAGAGGACTATAGTAGTGAGAGGACTATAGTAGTGAGAGGACTACAGTAGTGAGAGGACTATAGTAGTGAGAGGACTATAGTAGTGAGAGGACGACAGTAGTGAGAGGACGACAGTAGTGAGAGGACTATAGTAGTGAGAGGACTACAGTAGTGAGAGGACTATAGTAGTGAGAGGACGACAGTAGTGAGAGGACGACAGTAGTGAGAGGACGACAGTAGTGAGAGGACGACAGTAGTGAGAGGACTATAGTAGTGCGAGGACTACAGTAGAGAGAGGACTACAGTAGTGAGAGGACTATAGTAGTGAGAGGACGACAGTAGTGAGAGGACGACAGTAGTGAGAGGACGACAGTAGTGAGAGGACGACAGTAGTGAGAGGACTATAGTAGTGCGAGGACTACAGTAGAGAGAGGACTACAGTAGTGAGAGGACTATAGTAGTGAGAGGACTACAGTAGAGAGAGGACTAGAGTAGTGAGAGGACTACAGTAGAGAGAGGACTACAGTAGTGAGAGGACTATAGTAGGTAATGTCTTAGTTTGTTGGGTACTGAGAAGGCTTTCTGTTCATCTACAGAACGTCCCAACCTCAACTCCTGATTTGATATTCAATGTTTACAGTAACCCTGTCTTCTGTACAAAATGATCAAAGGATTGAAATTCAAATAACTATTGTTGACTGTTGACTGGTGTTTTTAGGCAAACAGAGCCACGCTCATTTTTCATAGACATTCTGCTTGTTCTGAGGATTCATTAAGACGTTGTAGCACTCTCTTCTATACTCTCTCTTTCGCTCTCTCGCCTCTCTCTATCTCTCTCTATCTCTCTATCTATCTCTCTCTCTCTTTGCTCTAGCCTCGTTCTCCTCTTTCTCTCTCTCTAGCTCTCTGATCTCGTTCTCTCGTTCTCTAGCTCTCTCTCTCTATCTCTCTGCTCTAGATCTGTTCTCTATCTTCGCTCTCCTCTCATTTCTCTTTTCTCTCTCTCTCTCTCTCTCTTCTCGCTCCTGCTCTCTCTCTCGCTTGCTCTCTCTCTCCTCTCCGCTTCTCTTCTCTCTCTTCCTCTCTCTCTCTCTCTTCTCTCTCTCTGCTCTCTCTCTCTCAGGGGAATCAAACATGCTTCTTTTGTTTATTTTCTCTCTGCTGTCCTCTGGGTTTAGAAAAACCTAGATTATTTCCGGCTAGGCTGCTTTCCACCACGCGCATCCGGAAAACAACAGGGAGCCCTTGTGGTGGAGGTGGCCCAGACTCTGCGCAATACTATGAAATTATATGAATCTGTTGATCTCACCCAAGGCTGTGAATATACATATACACTGCAGCTCTTCTCTCAATTTATGTGGGCTGCAGCTCTTCCCTCTGTTTATATGGGCTGCAGCTCTTCCCTCTGTTTATATGGGCTGCAGCTCTTCCCTCTGTTAATATGGTCTGCAGCCCTTCCCAATTTTTAATGGTGCTTGCTTCTTCCCTCTCTGGTTATGACTGTAAGTCGCTTTGGATAAAAGCGTTTCTGTAAATGAATATATATTATATTTATTATATATGGCTGCCGCTATTCACCTCTGGTTTATATGGGCTTGCAGCTTTCCCTTGTTTTATGGGCTACAGCTCTTCCCCCTCTGTTTATATGGGCTACAGCTCTTCCCCCTCTTGTGATTATGATATCACGAAGACTTTTACAACAGTTTTTTTCTCATAAATATTTATATTGGCTGCTCTACTTTCTCTCTCACCCTTTCTATTCTCTTCTGTCTCTCTTCTCTATTCTCTTCTGTCTCTCTTCTCTATTCTCTCTCTCTATTCTCTCTCTCTATTCTCTCTCTCTATTCTCTCTCATCTCTATGCTCTTCTTATTCTCTTCATCTCTCGCCTCTTATTATCTTCATCCTTCTCTCTCTATCTCGCTCTCTATCTATCTCTCTATTCTCTCTCTCTTATTCACCTTCTCTTGGCTGGTGTTGTTATGAGTGAAGTCCTCTGAGAAACAGCTGCTGCTCACTGTTGGCTTCCCAAGGCCCTCCAGCAGCACCCTGCAGTACTGTAGCTCCTCCCTCCAGCAGCACCCTGCAGTACTGTAGCCCTCCAGCACCCTACAGTGCTGTAGCTCCTATATCAGCGCCCATGACATTGCTGTAGATCTCCTCCGCAGCACCCTGCAGTACTGTAGATCCTCCCTCCAGCAGCACCAGCAGTGAGTAGCTCCTCCCTCCAGCAGCACACCTACAGTGATGTAGCTCCTCCTCCAGACAGCACCCTACAGGCTGTAGCTCCTCCTCCGCAGCACCCTGCAGTACTGTAGCTCATCCCTACATCAGCACCTGAAGTAGAGCGTCTCCTCCAGCTGCACCCTCGCAGTGATGTAGTCCTCCCGCCAGCAGCACAATGCAGTACTGTAGGCTCATCCAGCACACTGACAGTACTGTAGCTCTCCTCCAGCAGCACTGCAGTTACTGTAGGCTCCTCCCAGACCTGCACGTACTGTAGATCCTCCCAGCACCCCTGCAGTACGTAGGCCCCTCCTCCAGCAGCACCCTGCAGTACTTGTAGCTCCTCCCTCCAGCCGCAACCTGCCAGTACTTGTATAGCTCCTCCTCCAAGCAGACCGCAGTTCACTGTAGTCATCCCTCCAGCAGCCAACTGCAGTATGAGTCTCCTAAAGCAAGCCCCCGCCAGACCTGCAGTACTGTAGCCCCTCCCAGCACCCTGCAGTATGTAGCTCCTCCCTCCGCAGCAACCTGTGCAGTACGGTAGCTCCTCCTCCAGCAGCAACCTGCAGTACGTAGTCCTCCTCCAGCAGCACCCTACAAGGCTGTAGCTCTCTCAGAGCACCCTACAGTGCTGTAGCTCCTCCAACCAGCAGCACCCCTGCAGTACAGTACTGTTAGCTCCTACCTACAGAAGAACCCTGCAGTACTGTAGCTCCTCCATCAGCAGAACCCTGCAGGAGTGCTGAGTCCTCCCTCCAGCAGCAACCCCTGACAGTAACTGTAAGCTCCTCCTCCAGCAGCCACCTTGCAGTGCTGTAAGTCCTTCCTCCAGAAGCCACCCTGCAGTACTGTAGCTCTCCCAGCACCCTGCAGTACTGCTAGCTCACCTACCCTCAAGCAGTCAACCTGCAGTACTGTAGCTCCTCCAAGAACCTGCAGTATGTGACTCCTACCTCCAGCAGACACCCTGACAGATGAGCCCCTCCCGCACCATGAAGTCACTGTGCACTCCTCCAGCAGCACCCTGGCAGTATGTAGCCATCTTCCAGCACACCCTGCAGGACTGTAGATCCTCCTCCAGCACGCACCCTGCAGTACTGTAGGCTCCTCCCTCCAGCAGCACC